CAGGGGGAGAGACATATAATTTCATTTGTTTGAACTAAAAGGTGATTGCGTTATTCTGGTAAAGTAAAAACAATTAGACAAAGGTCAGAGCAGACTGAGTCTGTGTATACAACGGCCGCTTCAGTTAGTGATTCGTACTACTACGTACTTCGCTTTCTCCTATCCGTAAATTGACCGTTCCGGAAGTTGATACATGTGTAATTTGAAAATAAACATTAGATGAAATGTCAAGTTTACTTTACTTTTGAATTAAGTTAATGATATTAATCAGCCAGATTCGTAATTACAGTTTTATACAAATTTAGATTTTGGTACATTTGACAAAAATATGGTGCACTTATGTACCTTTCCCCTTTGTAAGTTCGTAAGGTTTTTACCGTTCAGCTAAAAAAAGATAAATCGGAGCTTTATAGTTAAACCATCGTAATTTCGTAAATCAGAAACTACAAGTATAATAAATGAAAACAATTGATAACTCTTTTTGCGCTATCAGTGTAGGGGTGTAGGAGAAGTCTATAACTGACCTTACAACCACCAGGTAACCATGAAAGTATACGTACTATTATTGTAGTAAGTGTATCTTCACGAAGTTTTGCAGGCTTTTAGTAAACATTACAAATCTTTTGTAAACAACAAATCAGGTTTTTTTAATTAGATATTTAACTAAAGATTTGTTCGTGAATATCTATGGCTTCAGTGGTAATTGGCTAGTTTGAGTGCAGGGTGTTAAGATTAAAAATACTTTTTCATCTTACAGTTTTAAAATTTTATTTGCATAATCTCTAGAACCTTTTAAACAAATGCCCAAAGCTTCTTTCAGTAAAACTTCATATTTTATCTGTTATTTTCTGTATATGGCCGTGATTGGTTTGACCAACCTTCTAACCACCATGTAACAACAAAATACAGATGTGTAAGAAGGAATTGCAAATTGGGGTTGCTTGGCTAGACATGCAGATGATATATATAACTTACAGTTGCTATATAAGTCAGATATGTAAAAATGGGGTGCTACAGCACCCCTGGTTCCAACACCTGGATTACTCCTTTTTTACTAGAATAACTGCACATTGTAGCAAACAATTACATAGTATTTATTTTTACAGCCAAAGCTAATAGATTTTTCATTCAGTTTTACTTCTTTACAGTTCCACTTACACCCTCTCAGACTACAATAATAGCTGTTTATCATGCCAGACAACTTTGTGTAAACAATGGATGCTTACACTTGGTGTATGCTATCATTGATCATGGGTATTTAATTTATCACATTTAGTGACCATAGCTTAGTCATTTGAATGATACATTTTGTCTAAGTCCAATACATATGCTTCACACAATAGAGTTAATGCTGTCATAAGAATGAATCCTAACATATTGATGAAATGTTTATAGTGAAAAAAACAAAAGAAAAATACATACATTACTGTAATCAGTGAACAAGTTTTATTTCACTGTTTTGTTCATAGACCTTTATTAATCAATTACAGTATCAGTCTCATCTTCATACATCTTGTTTAACCTATCGTTACTACATGATGCTACTTTCTGCTTTTGTAGGAATAACCAATTGCATGTTTTTCAAAAAGCTCCAAATGTTAGATGTTTGGAACCTAAATCTCTTGTATCATAAACGTTGCTTATATCATTGTAGAATGTACAACATTTCTGATATTGAGCAATCATGTTTTTTTCCCAAGAATTAGTGATGAGGCCCATATTAGCTTTTTAAACACTTATAAACTACTTATACTCCAAGTTGCTTATGGGTGGCCCATGATTTGATTACAGGGTTTCTAATTGTTATGAGCTCAAAAATATTTAAATAAAAATGCATCAGTATTGCAGTTAATCCCACCAGTTATTTCTGGGATTTTCCAGAAAGTGAATGATTTCACCTTTTTTGTCAATTCTTTACCCTGAAAACAAAATTACTCAACATGATGCAGTGTGTAGATCCCAGCGGTTGTGAATGGTATGGAAACAAATCTGTAATTTGAGGGTTTTAACCATCTTCAATGTTCCTTGGTCAGACAGTGGTAAGTCTACAGACTTACAATGCTAAAATGTAGGGTTTGATTTTCAGTGGTGACTTACAACACTAAAATCTAGGGTTCAATTTCATGTGGTGGACATAGCAGATAGCCTAATGTGACTTTGCACTAAAACAAACCTCACTAAACCATCTTTAAATGCATGTATTGTACTCTTCTATGATCACAAATGCTTTGTAAAGAAATATTTGCACACAATAACATTTCATTGTCATGATTGGAAAATTAACAAATTGAAACAAATATTAAATATCAGTTGAAATATAAGATTGGAATCATCTTTGCATTTGTCATAGAATTTTTGCCTATTGCTGTTGGGAAATTTCATTGTATTATTGATGAAAAATTTGTAGTAAGAAACTGTCAAAATTGTTTGTTAACATAGTAAAATTATTTTTCTCCATAAATATAGTAAAAGATAAGATAGATACTTTGAATGAACAGTTGGAAAGAGAAGTAAGCAATCCAAATGTAGATAGACCTCAAGGAGGAGAATACCCTGAAGGTTCTGAACCAGTTTCTGGAAAAACTAGTACCAAGGGAAAGCGAGAATCATTGACAGGTATGTAATACTCATAATAAACTGATGTTCTGAATAAAGGTATTGTTTTCTTTGCGAAGAAATAAATCTAGTTTCAATTTTTTCAATGTGCTGACTTGGTTATTGAATGTTCTTAAGTTAAGACTCAGGTTGGGTAAAAATTAACTACTTTGTATGTGACCATTTTATAAAGTTTCTTCAAGGTCAAATATTAAAGTTTTTACATCATATTGGAACTGAAATTGTGGCATCATGTAGTGAAATGTTTTACTGCTTCAATACAGAGGGGTTACTTGTCTGAAAAATAATAATTTACTAGGGTGAATATTTTTTTAAGTGCCACCCAAGCACGGCGATCAAATTTTTTTTCAGATGGCAGAAGACATTTATTTCTTCCTCTTCAACCCCCTCTCCAAAGTTGTTATAAGTGTCCATTTATTACTAAATGTTTTCTTTCCAATTTCAAAAGCCAACATTGTCACTATACTGTACCAATGATACTAAACATATAAAGCAGTATAGATCTCCAACTTTCAGGTCTAGTTCAACATTACTAAGGACTATATTTACACCTTCTGATTGGCATTAGTTCACCTGCATTGTTTTATTGTTACTAATATTAGTTTACATGTAGTATGGGCAAGCAATAATTATACACACACTCATGCATTGTTGGAAAGATGATAATCTGCTGGTTGCTTATACTAATAAACAAGATATAAATGTTGTTGTTGTTTCAGTCTTTGTAGGCTATTTGAGTCCAAATGATCTACAAGTTCATAGACAACATAAGTCAAAGAAACCCTACATTTGCAACAGTTTAAAGTCGTAAAGTAATAGATTCATGGTATGAAAATGCAGAATCTTGATTTACTTTCAGGGTACACTCTTGTTTGTACTGGTCAGAAATGACAGTATTGTTTTATTTAGTATGAGATTATTTCCTTAACATTTTTCATGTCAATTAGGCAATCCTTTTTAAATTTTTATGTTCCCATTGTTATTTTTAGGAGCATTTAGCAGGAGGAAAGCGTTAATTTCTTGTCATGTATATCATTGTATTGTTCTGTAATACCATGTCATATTATGTGAATAATAATTGTTTCTGAGAATTTTGTATTGTTTTGTTATATAAATAATTGTAATTACCTTTTCTTGTAGTTACTAATTGTAAATGATAAGTATGATGAAATTGTTGTTTGTGTCTGTTTTTTTTTTGGTTGACTAAATTAAATCCTTAAGTTTAAAATTTGTTAATGAATCTTATATGAGTATTTTACTTCTTGAATTAGAATTTTTCTTGTATCTTTTAGGTTATATAAAAATCAGACTGTCAACAATGTCAAGAGGGTTAGTAGTAGTGATTAAGATTAGATAACCAATATAAAGTAACTTGTTAGAGAAATAGTTATCAACCCCTCACACCAGAGGCAGGTCAAAGTTTGCATGCCATGACTTTTTAGAGAGTTACATTTGAAATTTAATTAAACTACCATATTATTATTATTTTATACAAATAAACTTGGCATCAAAAAATAGTTAATAAACCAAATTATAATATCATATGAGTTTTAAGCTCTTAATTTTATATAGAAATATTTTAAAAAATCCTCAAATCTCCCCTAGTATGAGAATTGTGACATTTGCTCTCTAGGTCTTCCCTCTTTTCTAACTTATTTACCACTACTCCAAAAAACTACAGAATTTAACATAAATTATACATTATAATATAGGTATTACTCAGGCAAAGTATAAGTTCGATAGTCTTCACTCTTATTTGTTTATGGAGTCATAAACTAGAAATTCAGACTCAATTGCCACGCCCACTGGTCACACCTTCTCTTTCACAAGTTGCCAATAATTCTCTCTCATGTTCTATACTATATTATTTATAACCAATATAAAGCCAGAGTTTTAATCTATCAAATGACATATTATATTGTTTTCTATATGCAGAATTGTCAATTTCACCTTCAATATGAAACTTTTTCTCACAGTATTCACATCAACATACTTGCCTGAATATCTAAAGGCTCTTATGTAGTTAGAAAGCTAGAAAAATCATGGTAGTTGTAGTAAATTGTCTGATTTTTATGTGTTATTATTCTGTGTTCTTAAGTGCATTATTTAATTGAATAACAATTTAGTGTAATACCATTAGTATAAAAAAATAGGCTTAAGTTTCATTGACAGTCTGCAACAAAAAAACGAGGACCCCTGTTAAGTACAATATTTCTTGCATTTCATGTGCATCTTTATTATTATAAAAGTAACTTAGAATCTTATTAAGTAAGATAAGGTTAGATTACATGAGATAATGAAAAAACAAATAATAATTCTTAATGAGGTATGCTTGTGAACATAATCATGTGTGCTTTTTGTTACTAGCTTGAAGCTATTTAGGATAAACAATTGTAGTTTCATGTTACAATTTACAGTCATTCTCGAAAGAAAAAAGGGTAATTTAGAATTATTGAATAATTTTTATGGTGGTTGTGAGGTCGTTCAAATTGACAAAATGGGGTAGAGAAAGTAACAGGTAAAATATAAAGTTTTACTGAAAACAACAAAACATTTGATCTTACTCTGGAGGTTGTAGAGATTATGAAAATGAAATTTCATGATTTTCAGCTAAAGAAAAATTATTTTTAATCTTAACATGAAAATCACTTTGCACTAAGAGCAGTTAACATTAACTCATATTCATGAACACTTTGTAGTAAAAATATTTAGTTAAATTTATTTTTTGTGTGTGTGTACCAAAGTCTTGTAATGTTTGCTGAAAGCTTGCCAAATTTTGTGAAGATACACAAAACATATTAAAAGTTATAATATGGAAACACTGATGGTCACAAACTTTGTCAATTCAACTGAATCTGTAGCAAGAGAGTTAGGGACTAAAAATAACTCATTTAGTCAATAAATATAGAGAATCCTGAAAAATATCTTGTGGATGGCTTATCCACAACTCCAGTTCTCATTTAGCATCAATGTAGAGATTGATACATTTGAGTAAAACTTTTAAAAGAGGGAAATTAAATTTTAAGATAGTTTTCTACATATAGTTAAATTATGACACAAAAGATCCTTTTCTGACACACAACATAAAGGTTAGTGAACATCTTACACTTTTTAATGAGATTGAGTTTTTATTTAGTTTTGTTAAAGTAAATGTTTATTTTTTCTAGCAAGTCAACTGTCTCAGAAGATTAAATCCACTTACAAGCTCAAGGCTTCAACCAGTAAAATTGTGTCCAGTTTCAAGACACCAACAGTAGCTTGTAGACTGATTCGTGAATATATTGGTCATCGAGATGGGGTTTGGGAGGTCAGCGTTTCGAGATGTGGTGTTCCAGTTATAGCTACAGCATCAGCTGGTAAATAAGTATTTAACTAGTTCTTACTATTCTTGCTGTTTTCATTTTACGTGGGTTGTGGAAAAATTTCTTGCAAATGTTGATAAAGAAAATTCAGTGGACTGACAAATAGGCTTTGAAAAATCTTTTATTCTTCATCTCATCATTTCCTTTTTCCATTGGAAGGAGTGGGTGTATTAAGGCCACTGCCCTTCTTTTCAATTCCATACTTTTTTCTTCAGTGTTTTAGTTGGTTCTCTCTATTTCCTTGACTTTTACATGGACATCTGACTCTTTCATCCATTCTGTTTCGTGTATACTTAGTTGACAACCTAGCTGACTACATCTCTTGGGTGGCTCAACCATAACTCTAGTTCTCATTTAGCACCAACATAGTATTTGGCACCTCTGGGATTTTGGATCAACACAATGCAAGGAATACTTCAAATGTCTCATATGGCATTGCAATCCTTGGATTCTTGTGCTTATTCTATGCTGTTTTTCACATATATTGCCAAGTGCTTTTCAGAAGTAGTTATCTTCAGGCTTGTTATCTGAAAGAAATTCCCCCCCCTCTCTCTCTCTCTCCTGGTTCTTTTGATTACCTTCAGTTTTGGTCCAGTTGATAATTTACTACTGCATGTTCCTTTCTTATTCCACCTCATACAGATCTGCATCTCTTTACAGATGCCTCACTTAATGACTTGGGGTGCTGTCTTGGGTGAACATTGCCTTTCTGGTAGAGCTGGGAAATTAATGAGATTCGCTAATTGATTATTTGTCAGACTCATTAATTGATTATTCCACATGAAACTAATTTTCTGAATGTTTTTTTTAAAGATGTTTTTGAAGTACCCTTTCTTTTACTAGGATAGACATCTGAGGTACAACAATTTAGTATTTAGTTACATTTTCAATCCTAAATTGTTGTGCATGAAAATATATATTCAAAACTGTAACAAGCTAAAAATATGATTATCGTTCAGTTGGTTTCTTCCTACAAATTTTCATAAGATTGGTTATTAAAAATACTGAATATTTTGTTTATGAAAATATACATTATTGATTATAAATCAGAAAAATAATAAATATAACATTGTCAGGTTTGTATTGTTTTACCTCTGAAATGCCCTTTAAAGGTTTTTTTTCACTGGTATTATCGGTATAGTAAGGAGTGTTGCATAATCAGCCAGTGTGAGTAAGATTGAAAAAAAGAGTAATTTTGATGAATCAATTACTTGACACTAATCAATGCAATTGAGGATCTTCTTAGGTGATCAATTAACAGAATTTATCACCTAGTTCTACTGTTGGGTTCCTGGTATTTTCAGGAATCAGAATTTCACATCAATCTTTCAGATCTTTGGGCAGTTAAACATGCTTGTCAAAAGTTCCTACCCTTGCTACCCCACCATTATGTTTTAATTCACAAAGACAGTTGTAGTTCTATATTAGTGGCAGGTATCAACATTCATTGAGGAGCTCGATTCCACAGCTTTTGTTTTGCTGCTGTCTGTCTTCATCTTTGACTCCATTCACATCATATATATATATATATCTTCAAACCAGTTTTGTTCTAGGTGTTATGAACATTCTCTTTCCAGAGGTTTTGGACTTCTGTGTACAGAGTTGATCCTTCAGCACTTCAATGGTTGTGGCAATTGCTCTGTTGTTCTATGATCAATGCATTTGCAATGGTAGACATTAATTATTGCTTGCTTTAATGGTCTCCAGTTTCAGAACTGATTTCTCTAGCAGTGAATGCTTTGAGCTAGTTTTGGAGAATCTTTTTCTTTCTGCTTACCATTCTTTTCGTCTTTTTTCTTGGTATTTGTCAGGAATATTTCATCAAATGTTGAAGCTTTGTACTGACTAACTCTGCTATGGTTTCTGCTACTACGTTATCTATCTCTAGGGGATCCCATTCCAATACCTCTTTGGAAACAGCTCTTATACCAGCTATGCCATTGACTGTTATGTAGTCTTTTATTAGAGAATCCAAGTGCTATTCTTGAGTAGCTTGAATGTTGTGACATTCTTGTAAACTGTCATGCCTGGTTGTGTACCAGTTTTGTTCAGCTTTCTTCAGGAGTTGGTGTCTTAGAAATTACATTTCTTGTTTTTCTCCATCTCCTATAAAGATTGCTTAATTTTTCATTTTCTGATTTCATGGTTGTGGCTTGTCTGCTTCTTCTACATAGCTTCCCTTTCTGCCACCTTTAGATGCCACAGAAGTCATTATATTTTTTTGTCCCCACTCTTTTAGATCTTTTTCCAACCTTTCACTTACTTGGTCTTTCTCTGAGTCTCTAGACATTGTCCTGTGTGGGACTTGAGTCTTGTGTTATGATGTTTAGCCTCTCCTCCTTTTGAACCTTTTTATGACACATTCGCTCTACTGTCTATCACTGAAGAACTGAAATTTAAGCCTGCATGGCTTATTGTACTGTTTTATTTTATTTTGTAAGAAGACTATACTTATGGCCTGATAAAGCCTTTTTACCAAAGTCTTGGCTGAGAATGTAACTACTGGTTTTCATCAGTTATGTTACTTACCCCTGACTGATCCAGATTCTCTATCCGATAATGTTTTTTATGTCTTGTCAGGGCCATTCCTTGCTTTAATTGTATGAACGGTTGTTTATACCTTACAACAAATCTCACTTCACAGATCTTGTTCCATTCATATTAATGAAATAACTTGTGCAGCAGATCTGTGTTATTTATTGTGATATACCTAAACAGTTTAAAAGTAAATTTCACGTTATATCTCATCAAATTCACTACTTAAAAGTGTGTGGCTTTCTGGTCTTACCAACCATTAAAGAACATCTTATAGGCCAGCATATTAACAAATTAAAGTATATTTCTGCATTCTATTTTCATCGCTTTGCTGTCTCTCTAACATTGGGATGCTATTTGCTGCCTGTGGTTATTCTCCAGACCTGATGAAGTCCATAGTAGGTGAGTTATTCTCTTTTAAATGCTTATTTACTGCTTGGACTTACACCCTTATTGTGTATGGTGGCCTATGTATTACTATTACATCCAACACTCTTATTAACAATTACAAGAGTGTCTAGGGTTAGGAAGTTTATTTAAATAAACAATAAGTTTCTCGTGTGTTAGGAGATTCTATGTTTATGCTGTGTATTGCAGCCGGGACTTTCACAGGTTCTTACTTACCCCTGTATTTATTCTTAGCACATATGAATAACTTACAATCGCTCCCTCTTCAATGAAATTCTGTATTTATATGAATTTGTCCATTCCAGACTCTTGAGTGCTGTTTAAAACTGTGTTTGCCATAGACACAATTCCACTCTCTGAGCTGGTGCTCCATGAGAAAGTGATGCCCTCTGGAAATGGGCAGAGGATGCCATCTAGTGGCTGAGGATACCTTGGTTTGTGCCTTTCCCACCTCTGCATGCACATTCTTACATGGCATTAACGATATCTAAGGCAGAATGCCCGTTCTTAATAGTTGTATCATAGCTCCAACCAGGATTGAGAATATCTACAGTTCATTTGTTTTCTATTTTAGTTTGATGTTCTGATTGCACTTGCATAGTCCTTAAGTTGTTAAGCCCCATCTTTGTGACAGCCTGGGTATTTCTTCAGTTTTCCCTCCCTGAGTGGCCAATGATTTGACTAGTCTTGTGACTTACTGGCATTTTTAGATATGGACGAAGTGGGAATAAAGCCCGAGGTGTATGTACACTCATACATTTCGATTGGGCTGCACCCCCAAATACTTTCCACTACAGAGATGGGGCATAGTATTCCTCCTACCTGTTTACCAACTTGTGCACCCATTATTGATTCCACAGATAAAGACATTAATGTCTTAACTGACACCTTTTTTGAAGGAACTAAAGAGCATCTTGGGCAAATCGGGATCCTGCTGAGAAGAAAGTTTTCATTGGTCCAGCCGTTTTATAAGGCCAGTTCTGATTCAGTCATTTTCTATTGAATCCAGTTTTTTGAATACTTCTGGTTCAGGATTCTACACTGACTTTACTTGACCACATCTTAAGCATGGTCTAGGTTATTACCTTACTGCCATGTAATGTATACTTCTTAACTCTCTGTTTCCAACCTTCTTTTCAGTATGGATATTCTGGCTTTTTAGTATTTCAGAGGTCAGTATACCTGATTTGAATTATACATTTTTAAGATTAAAATGAATTTCCAAGAGGTACTTATCTCTTAAATACTTTCCCACCCACCTCCATACTACAGAGCAATACATGATTTTTCCATCATGACTGCAGCTTAGAAACCTGCTCTATGATGGAAAGGCAAAGCTTATGGAAGATATTCCATCACTTATACAGTAAGTTATGTGTAAGTTAGGAGAGTGGAGAATTATGGTTAGGTTGAATCATGCTCTTCATTTGAATCAAGGACATTCAGAACTTTGCATCACATGGTTGTTAACAGCATGAGATCAAGTCCAACAAGGAAGGGTATTCACTATTTCAGAGGTAAATACCCATTTGATATTCATTTTAATCCTAAAGATGTAAAACTTCTGGCTCCTAATTTTGTTTACACAATTCTCTTACAGTTCAATTTCATTCATTTTGGTAAACTGCAGTTATATCTAAATACCATCAGTTGTTAGTGGTAATCCCAATGCTGTAACAGTGTAACAAGTGTAACTTTTTTTTTTGTAACAAGTTTCAGTCACTTTGTTTATGGAGTGGCTGGCTGTTTAAATTCAGACAAAATATATTTAACTTCTATTTTACACACATATACAATGTAATTTCTATACCTTCCTTGCTTTATATTCTTTTCAGCTGGTTTAACATTGTTTAATATCTGTAATATGAGTTGTTGGGCAAAACACAACTAAAATATTTTGCTATGTAATTTCCTTTAATTTTTGGTCTTTAATATCCTCATTGTCTTTCTGTGTTTATTGTAACTCTTTGCTTGATGGTGGTATTTAATTTGTAGAATCAAAAGTTTTACTGCTACTGACATCAAACCTTTAAAGCTTTCTTACTAATTGGATTTTTGTCATCAGCAAACTTAGTTGCTTTCCTTACTGCTTCAGATAACGTACTAATTTCAATAATCTTGTTTTACAGGTATATTTATTTATTCAGTTTACACTAAACAGTTTCTCAACTAGCTTCTCTTTATACCATTATCAGTCTAATAACAATAAAATATTTAGAACAGTTTTAAGGTTTCTGTACTTACTTTGATATCACAAGCATATCTTGTGTTATAACCAGACATTCATTGCATTAGAGTTTCCAATACAGCAGCATTCAAATGTTTTTTTTTTTCAACAGAAGACATTAAATGTGATCATTTTGTCTTTTCTAAGATTTAAGTGATTGAAATCTGTTTTCGGTATTGCCAAGAAAACATTAATAGATAAGCTTTTTTTAGCTTCTGGCAGTTTAATACTTATTTTAGAATATTGCGTGTAATCTTTCCAATGTGTAAGAATAATAATAAATTTCGTAACACCCATTAGTTTACCAATATTTCAAATCTTGGTTCTTTTCAAAAAATGTCATGTCAGCCTATCTTAAATGTAATTAAATCATACTTAAACAAGTAAATTTCAATAATATGCTACATGTATGTTTCTTTAGTTCAGTTAAAATTTTTATTTTTTCTCAAGTTTGAAGTAGCAGAACATTGTGAATAACACATATATATTTATAATTCTTATTTGTATTGAATCCAGATCACACAGCAAGGCTATGGTCAATTCAGACAGGAGCTTGTCTGCTTCAATATCAGGGTCACTCTGGATCAGTGAATGCTGCTCGATTCCATCCAACGCAAGACCTAGTGGTTACTGCCTCTGGAGATCAGTCTGCTCACATTTGGAGAGCTGTAGTCCCTAACATTGCTGGTGAACAAACAGTAAGACATGTAATTGATCTTAAAAAGTGAATTAAATGATTTTATAATCTTTGCTTTCACTAAATCAAGTACATTGATAACAGGAACATGGAAACTTTAGAGAAACATTTCATTTTTATACATAATATAGTTAAATAGCTGCAGACAATCTAGAAGTATATTTATAGACTATTTACCTTCTTAAACTGTTAACAAAATTTATTATTGTAAAATATTATAGCTAAAATAATCATTTCTGTTCTCTGATTGTCTTCAGAGTTCTTAGGTTGCTTTACTAACTAACAAAACTAACCTTTCACACAGATGACTTCAGTAAAAACAACTCTTTTTCTTAAAACAACTTTCAACCAAATGTAATATAATTTCTGGATAAATATTAGGATAATTGTTGTGTAGAATTTTGCTTTTGATCCTTATTAATTATCATTGATCAAGCAATACTTAACTTAGTACTAAATGTACTTTATTGATGTTTCAGGTACCATTTTGTCATTTCTTTTAATTCACCCAGTAAACTGTTGCACACAAACCACTTGATTAGATAGTAATTATTGATGAAGATTATAAGTAGTATTGTGTTAATTCAAGTGTATAATTCAGATTTGTGTATTATCTAATTTTTTAATTTCTTACTTTTAAAGGAAAGTATTTAAATCTCAATTTTCTGTCACATGACTTTTTGTGCTCTGACTTCTTATTTAAAGATTTTCTTTCTTTACTTGTATGGGTTTCATTCAGAGTGTCCAACTAAATATAAACACTTGCTGTAGATACTAAAAAGTTACAACATGAAATTTGAACCTCCTATTTTGTGCTTTACTGTAATGTCACTGTATTTTTCACGTGCATGACCTACCTCTCCAATCTCTCTCTCTCTCTCAGTCTTTCAAGACTTTTCTGTAACTCTCTGACATTGCTATTGGAAATTTCCTGTAGTAACCACAGCAGATAGTCCAATGTGGCTTTGCTCTACAAATAAACAAACACTCTTGATGGTCATTCACATTCCCTAAGATAAATTTCTCCCTGAGAAGTATTGATTTCAGTTCTAACTGCTGTTTTTTGGGTTCGTAGTAGTGATTTTGAACAATGTTTCATAGCTGCTTATCACTAAAACTCCTTCAAAACTCTGCTCATTCTCTCAGTGAATGCTGTGGTCCCATACCAATCAGTTCTTAACTAGCAGGCTCCAAGTATTCTAGTCTTCTTATACATGATGTGTTTCTTCTTTTTTTGTATCAGATCTGCAAACTTTCTTAGATACAGAGACAACATTTTTGGCTACACTGTCCCTGGGGGAGGGGCTGGGCATTGCTGGAACTGTATTTTCTTTATCCTTCCAGTGATGCTTTTCTTGTTCTTTTATGGATTGAAAGGTTGTGTTCAATTTTTCTCATTTAGTTTGATCCCACTCTTTTACCATCTTTTGACTTGAAAGGTTTAATGAGTAAAGTTCAAATGTGTTTCATACTTTTACAGAAGTATTCTTCTGAGGAGGAAGTAGAGTTGTCTGAAAAAGAAGATCATGGACAGGAAGGTAGAGATTTTACTAACATAATTATTTGAAGATAATTAATGTTCTAACTTATTCTTAATATATATGATGGGTTAAATCCAAAATGCTATATATTTAAACCATTTATCTTGAGAGTTCCTTTCCTGAAACATTTTAGATAGGATTTATACCATAACTTGTCACCTACATTTGATACATGTATATGAACAGGGCACCAAGATCTTTATTTAAAATAATAAATACCAATGATTTGTTGTACCAAAATAAAAATTTTATTCATGAGTTCTGAGCTCTATTTATATTACAAATGTTTCAACCCTCTAAATTTTGGCCATCATCAGGTGTAATTCTGTTAGTTCAGTTGATAAACTTCTAAAAAAATGTACTAATATAACATTTCATATAAACATACATATGAAATGCAAAAAAAAGGAAAATGTTGAACATCAATATGCTTCTCAAAGCCAATGATATGATGACTGCAGGAACAACAGAGATGAAGTATTTACAGGCCTTCCAATGAATTGATAAAAAACCTATTAAAACCATTGTTTTTTAACTAGTCTGAAATATATATATGTGTGTGTGTTTTTATGTTGTTAGATACTCAGTCTTCAAGCCAATGAAATGCAATCATATCTCACTTTATGAGATATGTGTAATAATTGTTTATTTTATTTTCAGCAAGTTATGAAATGTGTAGTAAGACTTCATTTCAGGCCTAATACAGTGACCAGCTTCTAAGTTCTAATAAGCATATAATGTATATTATCACACCACAGAGAGAGAGAGAAAAAGAGATGAAACCCACTGACATAACATAATTTTGACATTTCAGATTCTTTTACTAAATCTTTCCTTGGTATACATTATTTATTTTGGCAAATGATGTTTTACAGTGGTATTGTGAATACTTTATTGTCTCAATGGGATTTCATATCTGTCTTTACAGTTTATAATTAACTAATATATTTTTTGTTTTCAAACTGTTAAATGAAAAAGAATTGTTACGTATTAGAATTTCGAATAGTCTGAAGCCGAGTTAACTGATAATTTAAATTTAGTAGTTAAATTGTACTTTGGATTTAAGTATTTAAATATATGCTGATATTATAGTCAATTTACTATATTTACAACAAGATTGATACACACTGTCTTCATTTTTAACACAAATACGTTTTAATATACACACAACAGTACAATTTACAATAACAATTATTACAAATAATGATTTATAAACAGAAGTGGAGGCGTTCTAGAAATTTCAGTCTTACGTAACAATGCAAGTTACATTTTAAACGTTTATGTATATACATATATTGTTGATTCTTACTCTCGAGAATCTTCTACAAGTTTAGAGAATAGGCGGGAGTTTTGCAATACCTATCTAACAGTATAAGCTATGTATATTTCTAAATATAAACTTAATCCAAAAAACGTTCATATTAAAATAAATACATAACAACAAATTCATTACAGAATGAAAGATAGCACATTGAAAGACTGAATTCCAGAGTCACTGGCATTCTGGCCATGACTTTGGTAATTGGTGAAGCCATCCAAAAATCCATGTACTGTGGGATGTGTATACTGTAAAAAAACAGGTATGTTGTGCAGGCAAAGGGTTGTTACCAATTGAAAAAAAAACTGTTAGATCCAAATGTCATCACAATGTGGGTTTTACCTGTGGCAGCAACCAAACCAAATTGATTCCATCCCTTCCTGCAATGTTTCCTGTAAAGATAAAGATTTAAATAGTAACTGTCTCAATTTCTTGTGCCCAGTCTGATTCATCTTCTCAATCAAATCCAGGACAGTCTAGTCAACTTGCTCAGTTAAGTCCTACAGAGACTTCCTTTGTACTCTCAGTGCCCACACAGACTTTGATAAAGTCCATTTTGAGGGTCCATGAACAAGCAAGATCTAAAGATTAAAGCAGAAATAATCTAGGTACCAAAAGTGAGCCAAGCAATATATTTTGATGAGACCACCACTGTATAGGTGAAGCAGCAAATGAGCCTTCTAGTCTCTACTATAGTGAAACAGCTGCACTAGCCCAAGTAGATTCCTCAAGAACCTCATATTTTGGTGTGGCTTTAATGAGAATGTCTCAGGTGCCGTTCAGTCAACATTTTCTAAACTCAATCTTCGTTTGAACAGTTTTTGAGTATTTTATCAGATGGATTTAATGTAAACAAAGAAATAAAAAAGAATACTTGATGAAGTAACGATGAATAGAGACTTAGGAAACATTAAAGATCTTGTTGATGTGAGATTTTGTAGCCCACAATTTTTTCCTCAAAGCATTTGATGTACGTGGGAGAGACTGAAGAGTTGCCTTTTGACCTTATACTATTTATTCAAGCTGTAAGCAGTGAGAAGAAAATGTTATGAGTAGTTTGGTTGGAAAATAAGTTGGGGGGGGGACCTTTAAAAAGTTTATTTTCATGTTACAACCAATTTATGTTTTTAGAATGGACTGGGATGTCTATTTTTACATATAGGTTACAAGTTGAGGGCTTATTCTGGAATAGTTATGTAACAGTATGCAATAGTTTTTTAAACCCATTCATATCAGTTTAAAATGTATGTAAATAATATCAAAAGCCAATTATAATTTACAGGACATCTAACAATTACTTGCTGATTTAGTTATGAATATTTCATAAGTATCGATGAGACTTGGGACCAAAGTGTGGGTAGGTGAGGGGACAAAAAAGTGGCTTAATCATTGTAAATGTCGTGTGTATACTATATCCCACAGAAAAATGTGGGGAGCAACTGCTCCCCCTTGCCTCCCTTAATCCCAATTAAACTCATAAGTCATAACAAAGTATAATTATTTTAAAACATAGAAGTAATTATCTAGACAGCTGTCATGTTAGTACCTTGTAGGAAATTTAGAGTTATGCTTACAAGCACATGTAGTAGTTTAATGCAAATGCTGTAAGGTTTAAAATTTCTTTCAGAATTTTAAAAATGTGTTATTCATTTTAATAAGTATAGATTGTAACTACAAAATTGATATGTATTTTAAGATCTATAGCTTCAAAGTATGAGGTACAAAATGAAAAGTCTCCTAACTTATCACACAAACAAAACTCTGTACATTGTTTACCATCTTATAAATTGAAATTTTATGCACAGTTTAAGCAATTTTGTATTATTGTTCATGCTATTATTATCAATATACCATTCTTTGTTCTTGTTATACTTAGCAAGGTCAGGCCCTTACATTATCAAAAACATCACTTACAGACTGTATAATTAGCAAGGCTTTGGCTAGTCTCACCTCATGAATATGTGTAAATGGGATTGTAACTAATACTATATTTTCTGGTACATAATGAGAGAATACATTCTTATTCATTTCCATGGGAAGTGTTACAACTAAGAGACATACATATTTGTGCTTTGTAACTAAGCAACTCTACATTGACAGCGACTTCTACATTCTGGTTAAATTTGACAAAAGATAAAAATCCATTGTATGATTTGAAAAACTTGTGAAACAAACTGTTAGTTTAAATGTATAAATAACGTAACATAAAACTACTTCATGTCTGAAGGTTTCTGTGTAATTATTTCTTCCTGGAGGTTATTCTCTCTTCAATTGCACACATTAAACTATAACTCATATGGCATTAGCTTGTTTGTAGCATTCACTTTATAAAGTGGTTAATATTTGATTGAAGTAGTTTGGAATGTTGCCATGTGCATGTTTGTGTGTAGTTAAAGTTTAATTAGCAGGATGAGTGTGTCTGTATTTGTGACTAAAATTGAATCTGATGGAAATTTATATATTTGTAATTGCTATCAAAGTTTTGTGACATTTTTATAACAAAATATTACCTTACCAAATTTTAATTATTATTTTTTTTAATCAGATGCTGATGTTCCAGTCAATTCTACAATTATCAAGAATGCCCTTCAAGAACTGCATGGGCATACAGGAGTTGTAATTTCAGCTGATTGGCTGGCTGGTGGTGATCATGTCACCACTGCTTCTTGGGATAGAACGGCTAATGTTTTTGATGCCCAGACTGGTGAACTAGTAAACCAGTTGGTTGGTAAGAACTTAATAAAACTTTTGATAGTTTCTGGTAATCATAACTAAAAGTGATAGTTTTTGTGCAGTATTGTATGTGCCATATTTGAACTTGTCAGTTTGTTTCACCAATGATCTGCTTTTAATAACCATATTTTATTCTTAACTTGTTTCCTTCTTTGTTATTGTGTTTTGTTATGATAGATGTTATTTAATCTTTTTTTTTAAATTTGGTTTTATATTAGGTTGTTCTTGCAAATAGAGGTTAAGTCTAATAGATTGTGTCTTCACTACTGCATGGGTCATTTTTCCATAGGTATACTAGGATATATTTTTATTTTTAAATCCTACAATTTAGTTTGAACCCTAGTGTTATTTTTCTGTTTTGGATGTTTTGTTTTCATGGCTAGGTTGTTTGCAATTTTAAAAAATATTATCTAAGGTAGAGAGATGCTGTTGTGTGTTATGGTTGTTTGCCCATATATATGTCAAAATGAGCACAACCATTGTGTTATATTTTTAAACATGTACATGTTTGGATATACATACAAGCTCATATATAAAACGTATATCAGTTTATAGCAGAGTTATTGAGTACAAGAGTCTTAATTTGTGTAAGGGAGAAGATATTAATTAATTAACGAGAAAAGATGAACTGAATATCACGTTTGAGTTTGTCAGTGAGGTGATTCCGATATTATACTGAATTCTCAGTGAATATTATACACATCCTGTAAACACAAATAAACTAATCATGTATAAATTTCAAGACATGAACAGTTTGGTGAACATTTAATATACATACTTAGTCAGTACAAAATAATTCCAAAGAATATATTTTCGACTCAAGTTGTAATTAGTAGTAATTCAACAATGTATCTCTATTACCATGAAAATTCATCTGTTGATTTAAATTTAAAATTGTATACCATTCTTCTTTCAACAGTGGATTCAATTTAATTATTTAATTTGTAAGTAACAATTTATCATAGTTGTTGTATGTGAACATAATCAAGAGTGATATTATATAAAGAAAGTTTAAACAAGGTGTTCTAAACAGTGCTTGATGAGTATGGTTTGTATTATAGTATGTGTCAGTTATAAACACAACTGTAACTTTCTTAAACAGGTCACGACCAAGATCTGACAAATATTAGTGCTCACCCTACTCAAAAGCTTCTAGTAAGCTCATCTAAAGACACAACATTTCGTCTTTGGGATTTCAGGGAAGCCATCCATTCTGTAAGCGTATTTCAGGGACACACAGAGTAAGCCATATTGTCTGATTTATTTTGCCAATTCCTTCTACAGTTGGGAATTCAAAAATTCTAACACTTTTCCTGTTCATCGGGACATGACTAGCTTAACCTTAGAAGTTACTTTTGTTTTGTTGCAAGTATGCCACTTACTGTTTAGAGAAAGAAAGTTCCTTACATTAATAATGTGTAGTTAAAAATAGTTTTTGTTATTTTAACTGGATAAAAAATATCACATGTAGGATAGCCCATCAGCCTGAACCTGTAGACAAGCATATTTATGAATACCCTTTTGACCTTGAACAACCACATATTAGACTAAAGAGATGATATGCTAGTTTTGAATATCAGGAAGTAGACAAAACATCATTATTAGGTTTAACTTTGCCTCAGTTTCTAAAAACAATTACAGTTAAAGACCTGAGTGCAATGCAACTCCAGATGCTTTCATACTTATAATTTACTGCTAAGACTTAATCATATCATATTCAGTCAATGAGGATTTGTGAAAGAAAAAAGGGGAAATTATATCTGCATCCAGAGTCTTTTTTTTCGATTAAACTCTTTTTAATGTTACACTCACTCTTAATCATGCTTAGAACTACTACCATAGGGAAGTGTCCAAGCTAGTACAGGAACAAAAGTGAAGGGTTGTTGTGTCTTTGGCTGTATTGTAAAATGTCTCAAAGGAGTAGTAAAAGGAATACAAAAAATAACGGGCTGATTAATTGGAATGGGCCAATTATTATTTGAGTAATTAACTTATATTTTTATTTGAACATCCTAAGATGAAAAAAAAAGAATGAAAATCAGTGTTTGAAAATAGAAAGGATTTATGTTTTTAATATATTATAGAGTTTAACTCCGATAAAATGTAAGGGGTTTTATTTATTTATATACTAATGAGAATATGTACAAACTAATCTAAGATGGTTCTGTTAATGTTGGCAGTCTATTAGGAATCCTAATAAATTCACATAAAGGTAATTATATTATTGAAAGGAGTATTAGATTACTTTATTTCTAAACCAACCATTTTCTTGTGCATTTGCTGAGAAATTAAAAGGTGAATACAGTGGCATAAAGCTTTTCTGTCTGTTTCACAGTGATTATAGATACAAATCTTTGTGGGGTAAGTTGAATTTACTAGTTAATAAAAGCTACTAAACAAATTAATTAGAATTTCAGGATTATGAAGAATAAAATTTACTTAATTGCTTCACTTGTTTGTAATAGCAAATCCTTTTAAGATTATGGTAGATAGCAAACAATCCATGAAGTTTATTCTTTGATTATCTGGTTATATCTCATTCAGTATTTTGAAACATGTATGTAATTCCTTGTGATGGGACAATATTTAGATCTTTTGAAGTAAATTTTATGAAAAGAGAAAATATAACAATAAAGTAGTGTGGCCCTCATAGAAAACTCATCATAGATGAATAGCTATTTTTGAAGGCTTCACTATGACCTTATTATATCTCCTCTTTTCACAAAATACCTGATGAAAGACTTAGTATGGAGTTTGAAAAGTTGTCTCAAACTTAAGAAAAATGGCGGGAGAGGTCGATAGTAAACACGGTACAAAATATTTACAGACTTATAACAATAAAGATTCTCCTGATTAAGTTAATAGTGTCAGCTTATGCTGGAGTTCTTTAAGACTACTACTCTTATTCATATGCATCCCAGACTATTAATACCACCTGTGCCAGGATCTGTGTGAGTCTTTGTTTTATTTTTTGTGGAACATTACTTATTGTATCATTCTGATTTTTCAGCTTATCCAAAACTTTACTAACTTATTCTATATTTATCTTATAATATATGAAGAATTAGGTACAACATTTATAACTAAGACCATGAAAAGGGAAAAAGAGTAAAACTAAATTTTTGCCAATGTAATAGTAGATTTTAATTCCATAGTGAGGATCATAAATGTGATTGTAAGTCTGAAAATATATAAATGAACAGTTATATCTGGGATAATGTAAAATTTGTTTAAGAACAAGACTGGTTGATCTATTTTAATTTTATATCAAAAAGCATAAATGTTATGTTAAATAGCCCTTTTACTCTGATCTGTCCACCATCGTACATAGCTTAAAATGTTTTGTATACTCTCTGTATTCAAGTTTAAACTCTACCAGATTATCACAGTAGTAGACCAGTCTCTGTCTATGTGTGATGAAAAAGAATGTATCTAGTGTACTCGCCACATACAGAGGCAGATACACTCACAGTAGTCTTGATCATGAGTGACTGTCTTATGGCAGAATATAGCATAGTTCTGTTGCTGTGTACATCTTATTCATCTGGAATGTCTAACTAAATACAAACATACTCAGAATAGACTTGATCATGAGTGACAGTCTAATGGCAGAATATAGCATAGTTCTGTTGCTGTGTACATCCTATTCATCTGGAATGTCTAACTAAATACAAACATACTCAGAATAGACTTGATCATGAGTGACTGTCTAATGGCAGAATATAACATAGTTCTGTTGCTGTGTACATCCTATTCATCTGGAATGTCTAACTAAATACAAACAAACTCAAAATAGTCCTGATCATGAGTGACTGTCTAATAGCACAATTCTCTTGCTGGATACATACATCCTGTTCATGTAAAACATTTAAATACAGGCAATTTATACTAATTATTTTGAAAAAAGTTACTTGAATAAAGATATTTTCATTTTCTTAGTTTGAAAAGGTTTCAGCCATAATATTTAAATCCTATTGCTGTTGTATAGCTGATTTAGTATTATTAATTTTATCTGTTCTTATTGATTTAGGAGGTACATTTACCTCTTAAGATGTTGTAGCTGCAAACTATAAGCAAATAACTCAAGGGAATCTTCACCTCTTATACATCTTTACTGTATATGCTAGTATTATTTCTACTTATTTATATCTGTTGGTTAAGGAACATAATTGTGTAAAAATAACCATAACATGACATAATAAATATGGGATTATATACTATTGCATGTTCCATGGTTTGTACCACACATGTTAGATTGCATCTCAGCTTGTGGTGTACAGACATTGATACCCTACTCACCCAATCCTCCATATGTGCACTTAGAAGCAAAAAGTTGTGTTGTTTATGAAATATAGAAGGAACCAATCAATAAAAGTAAACTTAGAAATATGTCTAACAGTGCAACATCTCGTATTGAACGGAACAATGAATAAAACAAATTGACAACAAAAGGAAGGTTTTGTTTAAACATGCATCATTAGTAAAAAGCTCATTCAGGCAGTGGAACAAAACAATTGGAATTACTACAACTAACATCTTTCTCTTAAGTTTAATTTTAAAAAGTGAATTGGCTCAAAATCTGTGGAAAATCTTGTAAGTCAGCAAAAAGAAATAGTATAATAATGACCTATTTTGCTGTAGATGCATTTGTTTTAATCACTGCCTTAGTTTATATATTTTATTATATTTAGAATAAAAACTCAAACAGAAGTCCACTGTTATAGTGATCCATGTACATGCATGTATGTATCAAAGGACAGTGAGAGCAAACTAAAATAAAAGCCGATTAAATGAGTTAAGTGCAAGATGAGGGTGAAAATTGCTTGACTGTGGAGGTAGATATAAAGAAACAAAAAAGATGGTTTATGTAAGGTCAACTATGCTGCATTTTTTGTGATGAGAATGGATTGCATGTGTGTGACTAACTGAAAGGGTGGGCTAAGCATTACAGGCAATAAATTGCTTGTATAATTTATGATAAGTTTATATTTGTTACAAGAAACATCAGCCATCTAAACAAAAAGGAACTTTTAATATCTGTAAACCAAATTATTGTATATTTAAATTATTAAAGTATATTATTCATTACTAGAATTGTACAGAATTATTTGTAATGTGTGGATAACAAATGTTTGTATTTTTTGTTTTGATTTTACTGACAAAATGTTTGATACATTAAATTGAAAATATTTTACCCATAAGTTATTTGATAGAGCTGGGTATACTGTACTTACATTTCTATAATAAACCATTACTAATGCAAGTATTAAACATATAAACTGCTCCACAGAATTGCAAAGAATTTCTAAATTTCTTGTAGATATTTATTTCAAATTTTTTAAGATTTCTTCATGTTTTTCTGTGGATTCTTTAGTCTTAGAATTCTGCATTATATAAAGGACGTAAACAAAGGTGTGTTCCATTACACCAAACTCATGGGCATATCTTTTCCTATGCTTGTACATCATAGAAGAGAAGATAAAGGGAAAGTGGCAGCTTCCAATATCTGTTAATATAGAGAGGAACATATTAATATTTAACTGTGGAATATTTTTAAATTGTTTTAGATGCCATGTATCAATGTTTTAACACCCACTTCACAATTTGTTTTTCACTTGTGTCAGCACTCGAGTTCCTTTTTAAGCAATTAGGCTTCTAAATAATATCCGAGACATAAATGATTAATGTACAATGTTTTCAAATACCTCTGTTATTTATGTGCCAATTACTTGTACAGTTCAGTTTATGTAATCCTGTGTATCAAGCAATGAATTTCGTATATGAATCCTTTAGTTAAACAAAAAACATTATGAAAAGTGAAATAGTATATAAGTTATAAGAATTTGGGTTAAATTTAACACCAGTTAAGACTAGGATTAATAAAACTTATATCAGGTGTAAAAATTACAGATGAAGTTTTTATAAAAAAGAACAAGAATTGACTTGTATGTTAGATGTCATTGTTTATAAGAATTTAACGTATATTTATGGAAAGTAAAAACTCTTCTGATATCCAGATGAGCTTTTTTAACCAGTCAAAGAGAGAGTTTCCACAAACCTCAGAGTTTGGGGAAATTAATGGAAATAATTTTTTTGGTATTAAAGACTATGAAATATTGAAATGAAATTAAAAGTGACAATGTAAAATCCTTTATAATCATATGAAAGAAGGAAACATATAAAGATATTCTCCATCTAGTGTATTTATTTCTTTAAAGGTAAATTCATCCAAATATTTTACATTCTAAAACATATGCTAGGACAGCATTTAGTATAATAATGCTGAATAGTATTGTCACTTAAGCAACAGGGAATAATTAAAAATTAAGAAATAAAGTTTCCAGTGTGTATAGGTTAATATTATTCCATAGAATAGAGAAAGTTGTTGACAGTTCAATGGAAAGTTGAAAGTTACTGTTCACATTTATGCTTTATTCAGTGCTGTATGTAACCTTTTGATTGATCAATTCAAAGTCAGTGCAATTTGACAATTATATATATTTTCTGCAAGTTATTCTGAAATATCTTAGTATTTTCTTATGGATCTAATCCTTTTATTTTTTTCAATTCATTGGCATATAAAATGGACTAATTGAAGGCTTTAAAAATTTTTTTCATTTGACCATTGTTGAGCAATTATTTAATTCACCTGGTTTCTTTATTTTTTATGATAAGCAACAGCTAAATTCCAGTTACATTTGATGTCAGTCATGTATGTAAAATTTATGCTGTTCAGAAAATAACTATTTTGAATTGTTTAATTTCTTTAAGTTGTATTTACTGCATTTCTATTGAAAGTAGGTGTAACACTTTGGCCAGAAGTGGACATTCCCTTTGCCTGTTCCAATACACTAGAAAGTAGAAACAACATTAAATCTTTGAGTTAACCATTCCACATTCTGGTTAACTGTTGTAGTCATGGAATCAAGTATGATTGAATTATATTTCTAGCTTGTTCACATCTCAGTAAAAAAAAAAAAAACGTTTCAAGCTAAGGAACCTAAAGCAAGAACTATGTGATAATAATACTTGAAAGGTGAAGTCAATCTGACATTTCTCAAAAGCAGTATGATATGAACAAGACGTTTATTTTTCTTTCTTCATCATGAAATTTGTTGTATTTTACAGTATTATTTTGCTGGTGTATTTTCTGCAAGGTTTTTACAGATTCTTTAGATGTGTATTTACCCACGCATAAGATTGTTAAAATCATTAAAGAACAATAAATATG